AGTTGGTTATGTGCCATCACAGTTTTTGGCTTGGGAAATTAAAAAACAACTCTAGTCCCATCTGACATCTACAGTGATATGTTCTGATACTCCCTGCCAAAGACGAGCTCCAGCATCTTCCAAAAGATGGATTATGTGTGGCACTGTTAAAGTATGTGCTGCTGGGTTAAACCCATTATATTTGGTTTGGGTTAAACCCACTGTATTTGGTTTGGGTGCTGCTTCTGTATTTCCATCTGAATTTTGATAGCCGTAACATATGGCTGGTTTTTGGTGAGTGCTGTATCAGTGGAGAGGAGGGAGGCAGGTGAGGACGCTGGAGGTTAGCATTGCCAAGGTCTGTCTAGCTGCTGGAGAAGCCACCAGTCATCTGTATCTCAGGTTTTCCATCTACAACATGGGAGTGGTGATGGCATCCCATATCAGTGTTCAGAGGATTAGATAAGAAAATATGTACAGTGCTTTGTGATTCCTATGTGACAGGTGACATATAGCTGGATAAAAGTATGATAATCATCTGGGTAGCTGGACATGCCTGCTGGTCTAAACAGCCAATGTCTGTTTAGACCTCTCTTGAATCAATGTGGCTTTGGAAAAAATAGTTTATATTAAAATTGGTAGTGAAAATGTTTCCCAGGCTAGTTTACAATCTCTTAACTGTGGTAACATGGGGAAATGCTTAAGCTGTAAGAAGGAATGTATGGCATGGCTGATTAGTCACTGCAGAGCCTCTGCAGCCTGCCCTGGCTCCTTGGGATAATGGTGAACCAGGAATCCCAAGCAGCCCACTAATCCACATGCTGATTGACAAGGTCAGCACATTAGAAGGAAAAAAAAAAAAAAAGAAAGGGGTGGGGAAAGACAGAAGGATCAAGAAGTTAAAATGGCAAGAGCACTTGGCTGAGCAGGGTTTCTCCTTCGAGTATTACCATTGCAGTGTTTACACCTGCGTGATAGATGGGGCTGAACACGCTTTCTCAGCGTTGGGTGGTAGCAGGGAGGGGATATTTCAATTAGAGTGTGAATAAATTAGAATTGATTACAAATAGTTCTATTTTTTTTTTATGCTGCCTAAAAAGATATTAGCTGTGAACAAGGTGCACTTAATCATTAGAGAAGGTAGCCTGAAAGTTAATAAAATACACTGCTGATCCTTACAGAGGGATGCCAGGTTTGGGTTAAATCTGTAGCTATTTTAGTTTTAAAGCCCTGACTGTCATTTTAAAGGCATATGCATTTTGGATTTTAACATGTTTGAATGATGCAGCTGAGGCCCAGGCCAAGCCGACCCTAAAATTGGCAGTAAAATGTTACCTCCGTGCAAGCGTGCAGAATGAAGGAATACAGGAATATGAGCAATAAGCATGTGCCCCCTCTCCCTGGCAGTCTTCTGATGTGGAAACCAGGAGCTTTCTGGAAATAAATACCTCCAAGCAAAGCAGAGGACCCCTCTCAAAGCTTTCCTACAGCAAATGCTCAGGAAGATTAACTGCCAGGAGTAAAGGAAAGGAAAGCACCAGAAGGAATGCGACACCGAAGCAGCACGAGTAAGGCAGAAGTAAGTGCCTGGCTGGCCACCTGCACTGTGCCTTGCGGTGTGGGTCTTCGCTCTGATTCTTCAGCTGAAAGCAGAGCCTTAAAAATCTCCGTAGCCCAGTAAAACCAGAGCATCTGGATAGGGAGGTAATACAGAGCTGTCCCCGCAAACTGGCAGCTCTAGGTTTGCAGAAAACACAGCAATGCAGGCTGGAATACCATAACATATCCCCCTGCCATCTTCAGACATTGGTGGCTAATGGAAATAAGTAGTTCTGAAAACAGATATAACCCCCACTGCCAGGGGAGAAGAGGCGGCTCTGGAAGAACCTCTTTTAAACACTTCACTATTTTCTCTGTAACTTAAGGCCCCTCCACCAGTTGCGAGCAGGGTTATAATACTTCATTGCCTTCCTGAGGTCTTGTTGAGATGAGTTGCTGAAGATGGTGAGGAAATCAAGCCTGTCATTGATAAGATACTGGTATTTGCAATAGATGCCAGATTGGTACTCAAGGTGTAAGTGTCATGCTCTAGCTGAGAAGATGTTCCTGGACATCTGCGCCAGCTCCAATTTCTCCCCTGGACAAGTGAAGGAGAAATTTCAAGTCCAGGAAAGATTTAACTCAGATACCTACCTTTAATCATAGAGATTATCTCACTGACTTCACTGAAAGCATTTCAAGTCAGAGTTAAGGGATGTGCAAAGATCTTTTCAGGTCAGACATGTATGTTTCCTGTGTGGAAAAAAATGCCAGTCGTACATAAGCAATTTTCCCTCCCTGACAAAACACCAGCAGGACTCAAAGCTCTGTGTGCGTGGTTCCTACAGGGCTGAATGGGAAGGAGTCTGAAATTGAGGGTTGCCCTGACTCCTTCTGTCCTGTCATGGCCTGTGGGCTCAAGCTTCATTCACCAGGTGACATTTTTGTGGCCAAGGTCTCCTTTGAATGCTGCCTGGCAGTCTGAGAAAAACGTGAAATGGTCTCTGCTGCAAACTTGAATCTGAAGTACTGTTTGGTACATGTGAACAATTTCTTCTGCAAGGGGTGCTTCATATTACAAAGCTATGCATGCAGCTTGACATAGATGTTTATGTATTTATGGCTGGCTACATGTGTTATGTGAAAGACATTTCCAAATTCATATTTAAACATACTGGGCTATCTTCTGTCTTTCAGCTGAGACAGGGTGCCCCTGTTGCTTCACATGCTACCCACACACTAGTAGGAGTAAAATTAGCACCTTGTGTTTAAGGATTTCAAATAGATGCTTGATCCTGGAGTGGTCACTGAGGGAGACTGAACTGGAAATCAGTCCCTTAGCGCTGCGCTCAAAGATCATGTCAAGTCACCTTAAAACATTTGGGTTGAAATTGCAGAGAAATTTGTTCATGAGAAGAATCACTGGTGCAATTCATTCACTGCAGCAGCTCTTGATGGCTATTGCTTTACTTTGGGTCTGCTTCTGCTGTATTTGCAGGTTCTCCCTGAAGTGAGTGGAAATTTTGTGCCTATACATCAAGGTTAGGATGAGGCTCTCTGTGTATGTATGATGTAGATAAATTACTTGATGACCATGAACTGTGCTATTCCAGAGCTCAGCAATAAATCACACGTTGGGCTTTAAAACGCACAAATGGGAGCAAGACATTAACAGGTTTCCAGGTGGGAAGTGGTCAACAAAATTCTTTTCTTTTTTTTCCTTTGTAAATCTACCCTAATATCAGCAAATTAGATACGAAAGAAAATGTGCCCAATCTAAGATGTTGCTGGCATATGGAGGACTCACTTGCTCTGGCCTCGTTCTCTGCTTTTCTTTGTGTTCTGGTTCTGCCATTGACATTTTGTGGATATTGTTGCATTCTAGGGTATTAACAGGATTTTACATTTTTAGCTAGTTAATGATCGGGGACTTCTGACTGGCATATTCTAGCCCTACAGGGTATTCTATTTTTGGTATTTATTAATTTTTTCTGTCATACAATATACAGTGAAAGCGATGAGCCTCTCGGTATGTAAAAAAGAAATACTTAAAAATGGCAACTTTTTTTATTATTTTGGTATTCCAGTTTCCTAATATTTTCCCCTGTGTGCTGTGTCATTGCTGGTTGGTGAGCTGGGACATGGCTGCCAATCAATATCCCACACGGACAAAAATAAATTACTGCCGCTCAGATGGAATATGTATATATGTATTTTAACCAAAGTTGAGATATAATTTTTTTAAAAATGTACTTTGAAGTCTGTTTTGTAGTTTTAATTAATGCAATGAGAGGTTTTATTTTACTCTCAGTGGAGATAATCTTAATCCATTCACAGTGACCTTTTCTTGTGCAAATTAGCTATACATGCTTGTTTAAGCAAATGGGCCTTTGCAAGATGTCTCTTCCTAAAGATGGAGCTTATAATTGAAAATTGGCTTATCCCATCTGTCTGGCCTGTGTGAGAATACAAACGTAGGTCCAGACTTCTTTATATATAACATATACGTATGTATATACATGCACATATACAAGCATAGAAAAAAAAATTGCTCTGCCTGCAGGCTACAGTTAAATTAGATTATTAGTGTTAGGCAATTTCAGTGCCACAAGTTACTGTCAAAATAACATCTGCCTGCAGAGTCCAGGACACTCTGGAGAATGGAGGGTGTTTAATCTGGATCCTTTTGTCTCAGATGAGGTCAATGCCATTCACAGTTCCATGAGTTTGCCAGAAGTACAATTAGCTAATAACAGGCTGGAAACTGTTAGGATTTGATAGGTGGTTTTGGTGAATGGTTTTCAGGGGATTGATGGAATCAGGAAAAAAATAAAAGCAAAACAGGAATGTCTATAAGCATTTAAAGGTTTAATCAGAGGAGCAGGGGTCATTGGAACTATGTGTTTAATTGCCAAAATTTGGCAGTTTATCCCTCTCACCACACTTGACAATAACCACCAAGTGTGTCATTGTAACCCCCTATCCTTTTTTTAGTGCCTGCTTGATAAGGGAGGATTTCTTTGGCATAGTTTGAATATTTTTTGCTTTGTACAAGCCTCTTGCACAGAAATGAATGCAGTTGTGCATGACTTTGACTAAATCCAAACAGAAATCAGGGTCACAGAAGTGCCACAACAATATTTTGGCTATCAAAACACTTAATCTGAGTTTGTTGTTAGAACTCATGCACACCTCTTTACATAGAAACAGCTGATTATTGCCAAGGAAAAGTTACTTCCTTCCTTCTCAGTTTCATTACCGCTCATCCCAGCAGTATCCCATGGTGGTTGCTCCTGAGGGTGAACAGAAAGGAGCTGGGGACATGGCTGACACACGTGCATGGAGGGAGCTAGCTAACCTGGTCATGAGCGGTCTTGGTCAGGGATGATTTTATCCAGATGTGTCTCAACAGCTGTTTGCATTTTCACACCCAGTGACTCACTGCTAATTGAATTTTCTCTTTTCTCCCCTGTTCTTGTTAGGTATGATTACCGTGAAATGCTGCACAATGCCACTTTCTGTCTGGTTCCCCGTGGCCGCAGGCTTGGCTCTTTCAGGTTTCTGGAAGCCTTGCAGGTAAGAACTGCAGTTTAAAGCATTGGCTACACTGGCTGCAATTCAGCATGCAATAGCAAAGAGGTGGGAAAGAGGGAAATGTGTTTCATTTCCCTTGTGGACAGTAATCCACTTTGCGAAAGCCTCTATTCATACTTCTGGAGCAATTGGCAGCTTCTTCCCAGGAGGAGCTGAGCACTGAGCTCATCTGAAGGTTGAGTTGCGTTACCTCGAGGAAAAGGTTTTCCCTGGATGTGGTGAGGGTGACGGGTTAGACCAGTTTAGAGCAGTATTTTATCAAGCTGTGAGACTTCCCGTGGGAGACACTGGCCTCTACAAGTAAGCCCTGGGGCGGTAAAAATAAGTTTTTGTTTTCACTTAGCCAAAACAGACCTTCTATGCATTGCCTATCTTGAGACGGTGCTTGCTGAACATGCAGAAGGTGGCCTGGAGGTTGTAAAGCTTCAGATGGAAGCTTCACATGAAAGTGGACATAGGCTGATCTCAGGGAACTCATAGTGTCTGGGACAGCACCTGCATCCCTTTCACCTTTTAAAAACATTTTGGTTAATGATCTCCCTTTTTTGCTGTTGGCCAGCAGCAGAGGGCAATGCAAAGGGGCTCCTGAGTCACTGTAGCCAGTGTGATCTTTCTTTTTGGCAAGCATCAGCTCAGCCCTGGGGTCCTGGATCTTCAGTCAGCCTTACAGAGCATCTTGGAAGATGCTGCAGCTCCCCTCTGGGACTGTTGTCTGGATTTCTGTGGGGGCTGGAGTGGAGGGAAGGGGAGCCTGAGGCAGTTCTTGGTGTCAAGGAGATGGCAGATGAGGACACCTTACAAGCTCCTGTCTCTGGTTCTCCTTTTGACATTTGGGAAGTTTCCCAGCACTGGCAGTAAAGCTGTTAATGACTAGCATCACATCACTTTTCTTCATCAACCACAAAATGTCCTAGCTGCTGTTAAAGAGTATCTTTTACTGCAATGCAGAGCAGGATTCAGGTACCTCAGTGTAGGTGCATAATGTATTCTGCTTCTCCAGAAGGTCTCCAGTAGATCCTGTGTCATGTCTGCCAGCCTTTCATGGATTACTTGGATACCCTAGAGCATCCCAAATGCACTGGACACTTAGGTTTAACCACTGAACCCCACACCTACTGTCACATTTGAGATCCAAGTTCTGAACTGTCACTTACCTCCTTGCTCCTACTCAGGAGAGCCTGCAAAGTGCTGTTCCCTCTCCAGCTGCTTTGGAGGAAGAAGTGGGACTGGCTTTTTTGTCATGGGAGTCACTTCAGATCCTCCTGAAGAGCACTGCTCTGCTCTTCTCTCATCTGGGCAACAAGTCAGGCAGCTTCTGTTAGATGCATCATCTCAGGAGAAGAAAGCAGGCACACCTCACTGTGCAAAACTTGGGAGACTCCAGGTTGATGATGATAAAATGCAGGCACTAAGCATTTTTCTAGCAGGCTAGCAGCAGTATTGACCGATTATGACGAATTCCCAGTTTCTCTCTGACTCCAGGGCATGTTGAAAGACGTAATCCACATTAACAGAATGTTTTAAAAATGAAAACACATTGCTAAGTGTTTTCTGGTTGGCTTTTTTCATGCACTAATGTAATTTCCTTACAGAAAATCAGTTCTTACACATATAAGCACTGCTGTAATGCATAGACTTGACCAGTCTAAGATCCTGTGTATAATACATGTTAGCAAGGAAGGTACAGCCGTCCAAAAGGTTCCCCTTTACACCATCTTTTGGGAGGTTTGGGGAGGTCTGAACCCTAGTCTGGACCAAATTCAGAGTACTTAATCTTGGCTCGATCCAAAAGAAAATGAACCAGATCACCAGCTTGATGCAGATCTTCTGGTAGTAGATTCTTTCACCGCATCAGGTTTTTGGTTTGGATTTTATGTTGTGATCCGGCTGATTAGAACGTAGTGGTGATCATTTGTTTATGGAAATACTGCCCTGAATTACTGAATATTCACAAACTTGCTGCTTGTGCATAGGAACCTGCACAACTCATAAAAGATTAAATCATTTAGACAGATCATACTGGTATGGATAGGGAGTTCACTCCTTCGTGGAAAAAGTGCTCTGGAATTAAGTATGATCTGTAGGTTTGTCTTGCAATATACTATAAAAATTGAGGGAGTTAGCTCCCTGCTGAATGGTTCACAAAGCATTGAGGGAGGCCATCATTTTGTATTAAATTCTCTAGTGTTATGTCAGCAGCATTTTAACAGTTCTGCCCTTGTCTGGCAGCATAAGCACCAGATTTCAAATGCCACTTTCCATGCAAACCCCACCTTTCAGCGAATATGAATGAGTGCAAAATGGAAAACGATAAACGTTTGGGCTGCCTTCCTGTGGCCTCTAGCTTCTGTTATTCTTTGCCATGTTGCCTCTCCTTCTGAGCTTGTGCAGAAAACAACAGTCATGGTGTTGGTGCAAACCTCAAAGCTTGCCCTAATCATTGGGTACCCGCTAACGACTGCAATGCCTCTGTGTGTGTACAGGCTGCCTGCGTCCCGGTTATGCTAAGCAACGGTTGGGAGTTGCCGTTCTCGGAAGTGATTGATTGGAACCAAGCTGCCGTCATAGGCGATGAGAGATTGTTATTACAGGTAAGAAAAAGACCGTGGCCTTCAGCGGATCAGTTGATTATTGCTGCCGCCATCTAAATGGACAGGGAAGATGAATCCAAAAGGTCAGGGCTGTAAAAGAATTTTTATCATGAAAGGATTGTCTGTGTCACACTGGCTATGAACTCATTTAATATGACATCATTCATTTTTTGACCTGAAGGTCATTGCAGCCATCAGGCTACATTCTTAAATGCAGGAGACTCTTATTTTTCCTAAGAGCATGAAATCTCTTATGGTGTGGAGGACCTGAATACCTCTTTGAGACAGAGCTGTCCTGGACCGGGTGCTGTGATGAGAGAGAAAACATTTGAAGGCAGGTTCTGCTCTAGTCCTTCAGAAATAGTTTATCCTCAGGGGTCCCACCAGTGCTGTGTGTCTGGCTGGCAGGTACTGAAGGTATTTTCTCAGGCAGGAGCTACCTAATAGTTTTGTGGGAAGCAGAATCTGTCCCTTTTCTGATGTCTGGACCATGTAATATTGCTTTCTGAAGCAGTGTTCACGTCTCTTACTGTTAATCTCCTTGAGATCAAGGAACAAAAGTGGCCTGAGAAAATCTCCAGCTTTCTTCAACATCTACTTTGGGTTTAAGTTTACTAATTTTTTGTGTGTGTTTTGCTAGTGGGTTTTATAATCTAAATACATTCTGTAAAGTATGTGGAGAAGTTGATGTTAGGAAAAGTTCTTGAAAAATTGGTTTCCCCAAAGTAGTATTTGATAAAGTGCCATTGCCCAGCATGTAGCTGATATCCACAAGATCTGAAATAGCCACTAAGTAGCCACTAAGAGGTCTGCTTGAATCTACCTCATTTCCAAAGTATCAAGCTATTGTCATCCACAGAGAGAAGCCTTCAAAGGTACAGGTGTCTTGGCACCCCAAAAATGAAGTACTTTTGGAAATCTCATTAGATCCCTATTTACTTACCTGAAGAAGTAAATATTTATGAAGGGCTGGCCTAGCAAGTCTTGTGAAGTGCTCCCTGTTCTTAATGTGATACAAGCTGCAAATATAAAAGGGCCATTTGATTTTTGCTTCTGTGGACAGCACGTTTTTCTGAGCAAAATTATTTCTCTTTTTAAATAATAACAATTTGCTGATCTTCATGCTTTCCGGTAACATGCCATTCGTTCTCTTCACAGCTGCTTCCATACTGAACAGCTACTGCACCGTTATTAACAGTATTTTTAAAGAGCTGGCAGAGGGCCTGAATGTCTGCTCTGGGAAATGTTTTTGTTATGTTACAGTTTTTCATTTCCTGTTTGAGAGCAGCTTGGATGTTTTTATTTGCATATTCTCCTCATCATAGCACTGGGAGAGCTTAATCCAGCCTTTCTGCATTTATTTGTGCAGGGTGGTTTTTTCCCTTCCCCCTACTTATTACTAAAATAACCTTTTATTAAGACGTCATCCCGTTCTAATAATTCCAGTATAATCTTGCCAGATTAGTATTAATACATCATTTTTCCCACCTGTCTTTCTGGACAAGTAGATTAATAACTAATAGACAAATGCAGTTATAATGGGAGCTCTGATTTTTCTTTCCAGCTGTTGTATCGGATCAGGCACCAAGGGTTTTTTTTAACCTTGGTACTCTGTTTGCAGGCACTCTCAAGCATGGTGTGGTCTAAAATCATAACTTCTTCCAGTAACCTTCACAGTCAGAGCAGCTTTCCCTTTCAAAAGCATGGTTGGGAATGAATACTGATTGTATTTGTTGCTCACACATGTACACAAACAGACGTAAGGTTGCACATAATGCGATGAAATGTTTAAGTTTATAGAAAAAAATGCCGTATCACCACTGTGAAGTGACTTTGATCTTGTGTTTGCTGCTGATAATGATCCTGGGTGTGATTAATACACATCTGTGTACAGCCAGTGCAGGTAATATTCATTATCACTCTACTTATTGAAATTTACTGGAAAAGTGATGAAAAGAAAGAATATTCACCTCAGAAGATAAAATTTAATACATTTATTTACTGCATCATGTCACGAACAGTGACGTGATCAGTTAGAAAAACATGTACTAATACATGTTTTTAGCTTACATCTTTCATACTAGTTTTGCAGGGAATATTTTACTTAAAGACCTATATTTTACCTAAAGAGCCTATAATGAAGGAACGTAAAGTACCATCTTTGACAGTCTGACCATTTTCTTCTGTTCCACCTTGCTGAAGTGACTCTCTCTTAAGCTCAAATTCTGTATTTTAGTTAACAGTTTCTCTAAGATGAAGGTCTAAGAGACGAAGGACTTAGAGAGTACAGATTGTCCCATATGACACTGCACCCTGTGGAGCCATGGTCCTTTTGGATGCAGTGTCCAGACCTCGATGGAAACTATGCAGTAAAGAATTTACTGATTCTTGCAGAAAATTTTTATATATAAATTCTTGAAATCTCAAATTTCCTTCAGGAAAATGTTTCATGTAAAATCATTTGATTCGGGAGCATGTGAAAGCAAATAATGATCACTGCCACCTCAGAATAATTTAGGAATAAGCAAAGGGTGTTCTGGTCAGGAAAGTACAGGATGTGATGGGGTGAAGGTAAACTTCAGAATAAGCTATGATATGCAAAAATCTACACAGCCCAGGTATGTGCTTTTACAACTAGCGACTTAGGTAAAAGATTTATGAGAAATGAGTGAGAACGAGGTGGTCTAATTTGGAATCACCAAAAAGTGGGTGGAAGAGCACAACTGCTCATTCCTAGGAAGAATGAACACAAACCAGCAGCATATCCTAGATGCCTTTCTGGTGCTGTGAGTAGCCCTTGTAACTGAAGCAAATTGCTGTTAAATTCCCTTGATAATGTCAGTTTGCATTGTCACAGTGGTGTACTGGAGGCCTTGGTCAGTGTCCTAAGTTACAGAATGGCATGTATGTGCATTAGTTTCCCTCCACTGTGGAAGAGGAATGTGGGGATGGGGAAAGACACAGAAGTGAAGCCCTCCTCTTCTGATCCATTGAGCAGTTACATTTTTTAATGGCAAAGCATTGCAGCAGGACAATCTAGGTTTTATTTGGAAGACAGCTTATACCAGAATGAATGTATTGATTTAATGGAAGGGGAAAAAAAGAAGCAGTGTTTTCCCTTGTGAATAACAGGTGTTGTGGGAGATGTTATTCTTTCCACCTACAGTAATTAGTGAAATGCAGTTTGATCCACAGGCTCCCAAAAAGTAGAGTCTTACTTAAGATGTTGCTGTGTTTTCTTTAGGGCACTTGGTGTTGCCATGCTGTGGCAACTGCCATTCCAGATACTTTTAATATACTTTGGACTCTCACGACCTGCAGGTACTAGTTTGTTAAAATACTAGTCCATGAAAAGCTTTGTGCATGAGGGATGTATGGAGGAGCTCCTTACTGTGCCGTGCCACAGTGCTGGGGAGAAGGAGCTTTTCTTACTATAAAACAACCAAAACCTAAAAGAAAGCAGATTAAAAAAACAAAATTGATATATTCAGTGCCAAAGGTTATAAAAGGTTGTGTCTCATTCGTTTTACATCAAGGCTTTAACTGTTGACACACGCATCTCTGTCGGACAGGAGTGCTGAAGCTGTGCAGCTTGCTAATAGAGGAGCAGGCTTGTCAGCAGCATATTAATTTGATGAGATTGCATTGTTTTCTAAAGCTTCTGACTATATTACATCTTGTATTACAGATTCCTTCTACAATCAGGTCTATCCATCAGGATAAAATCCTAGCACTTAGACAGCAGACACAGTTCTTGTGGGAGGCTTATTTTTCTTCAGTTGAGAAGATTGTATTGACTACACTAGAGGTGAGTAAAAATTGTCTGGGACCTTGCCGAGCAGCGAGGTTTCCATACCTGTCCAGCTGCTCCTGTCCTGAGCCAATGTCAGACCTTGATTTTCAGGATGCATGATTGGTCACTGGGAAGAAGGCTCGCATCTTGATAAGTTTTCTCCCATAAGGAGACACTTTCTTCATTATTGTAAGCCACTTTGAAAACTGGCATGGTGAAAACACACAGAGAAGTTGTCATGTGTGATCTTGCCTTTGCAAGGCTTTATGGCTTACGAATCAACTATCTTTGTGATCGGTAGTGAATGTGTTCCTTTAAGAAACCTTTCTGGAATTTATTGTGGAAAAAAATATTACTTGACCATTCCTTAACATTTTGATGCCTTGTTATAGGGCTGTTGGTCTGGCTTAAGGAAAAGGGGGGGGCCTTGTAAATCACTGTGTCTTATCTTCACACACATGGTAAGGGAAAAGCCTGATCAGCCTTATAAAATATTAATAAATAATCATAATTAGGCTGCTGTTAAACAGGGAGACAGTTGATCTCAAATGTGGAGAGAATCCTTTCTGAATTCAGAGACAGAAGAGATGAAAGGCTCTTTAGAAGTAGGGCCCAGGCTACAATTTCAAAAGCAGGTTTCTCTTCTAATTGTTTTGCAGTTTTGCACATAAATTTTGTACACACTTTTGCCACTGAAAGTGGCTCACTTTGTAGGTGCAAATGCATTCGTCTTATGCTAATGCTTCTACAGTTGCATCCATCTTTGTGCACAGTCATAAAGCTCCACATTTCCTGCTGTGCCTGCTTTCCCCTGAAAACTGCAAATGAGTGCTGCTGCCTGCAGTACAGGTTGCCCATGGCTGATCTACCTCTAGCTGCTGTAAGACAGTGCCTTAGGTTTTTCTGTGCCAGTGAAGAGAACCAGCCAGGGAACATTTTCAGACCCCCTGGCATAGCTATCCTCACAACACTCTCCTCGCCCTCAAGAAGAGCATGTCTTCATCTGTGCTGCGTGTTGGGAACTGCATCCTCAAAATCCCCATAAGCACTGATGAGGTAGTGATAATTATCACAGCCCATGCCAGGATCAGACTCACAAAGCTGGAAGACCGTTGTGCTCTTAGTCTAGCTTACCCTTACAGAAGTAGTCCTAGGAACAATTAGGGTGCCTTATGTATCATCTGCCCCTTCCCTGCATACACCCTGTTATTGTTAGAGACTGCTAAAAGGATAAGGGGTTGCATGGCTTTTCTCGCTGCACCTCTCCTGCCTGTGCTGGGGCTGGTCTCAAGGGCATGTAACCTGTAGCCCCCACGGCCTTGGTGTCCATCACATCAAGCTCCAGTGCTCACAGATGTGTCTTTAGCACTGCCCTGGGACACATTGGCCCATGTGGCTGCGGGTGCCCGGGGTACAGCAAAACCTGTAATAAAGCTGAAGCAGCTGGGCAACCAGCAAGCTGGCGTTTCATCTCGGAGGGGAAAAGCTAAAGTGAAAACAAAAATCTTCCTGGAAGGTTTAATTTAATGAAACCAAGTAATGTATGCCTGGTGTTGAAGTTATGTTCTGTGTTTTTTCATTTGTTTCCAAGAGTGGTTTTGGTTTGAGGGGGTTTTGTTTATTTTTTAATTCAGGACCTCAGAAATTTTTGAGACAGAGGGATTCTGTTCTTACGAACAGATACTTGTTTCACATTTCAACTTGCCTAGGTAAAGTCCTGAGTTAACTTTCCTTAGGAATGGAGTAAAACAGTTGAGAGTGATTTTTGGTGTCTGAAATCTGCAAACAATGTATCTTCTTCCTAAAATCTGATACCTGGAAGTAAATTCCTAGCAGGATCATTTTTTTCTGGTGGATGTTATCCATCTTCTGTTGTAACACTGTTGTGTCAGACTGCTCTGATGATGTTAGATATCATCAGAATAATCACTCGCCTGCTAACTGCAGTGCCAGTGCATGTCCACGTATGATGCTATCAGTACAGAAAAAGTCTTCACCAACTCAGATGTCTGCAAGGACATCACAGCTCTCCTCTGCCCTTTATCCTGGACACCTCTGAAAACATTAAGTCACATTTTAAGGTCCTTAATCTTCTCACAGCATTTGGTGGCCTAAGCTACACAGTTTATAGCCCAAAATAAGAGGTTTGAATCATTTGGCCAGCAACCCCATATTGAAGGCACAGAGGAACTGCCCAGTGCCATGGCCATGGTGTGGGTTAGGAAACAGTGTTCATGAGTGTCTGCTGCAGGCTGGTGAGTGGGAGCACTAGCAGCGCAGCAGTGGACTGCTGCAAACACCATGTAGATGCATGCTCCAGCGTATCTGCACTTTTTCAGCTTGCTCTTCTCAGAAAACAACCCCAAAATACCCTTAAATCCTTGTGCAGCGTGCTCAGTCCTCTGCTCAGGAAGGGGAGGGAAGAGGAACAGCACAAAGTACAGACAAGAAATGTTTGATGCTTGGCTGGGGCATGTTGAGAAGCAGCAATGATTAAGGCAATATGTGAACTTTTTGAAGTGTGAGAATGAGGGAGACAAAAATATTGAACTACTAATGAATTCCAAAAAGAAAAGGGAGATCTCGCCAGAGATCCTAACCCCTTCCTTCTCTTATTAAACTTGCTGTCATGCTTCATCATTGGAGTGACCATGTAGCTGCTCTCTGTCTCTGCAATATGTGCAACACTATGCACTCTGCATTTTAATTGGTTGTCCTCCATGTTATCTTTTTTAATTCTTTTCTGTTCTCTTTCTGCCAAGTTGTCTTTTCTCTATCATGACAGACAGCTAGGTTTCTTATGTAGACCAGGAGTGTGATAAATTAATCTTCCGTTTGTTAACTGTGATGAATCACTGAGGCCAGCTCCCCAGCCTGGTGTGGAACCACGCTGGTGAGATTTGTGTGCCTGACATGCACCGAAGGCTGCGTGTGCTGCGTGGCACCGGGGGCCTGCTCCGTGTTATAGCTGCGCTCGCTCTGGGTGCACTGAGGCAGCGCTGAATGCGAGCCATGTGTTTCCCCTGCAGCCTTGTTGGCTACCAGTGCGGTGGAAAACTCCACCGTCTGTGAAAACCTCCTGACCATGTAAATTCACAGACTTCTCTTTATCTGATTATGCCCCAGTTCTGAGAAAGCAGGAGGAAGGAGCTGTAATATTTAGGCTTTGTGGTAAACACTCGAAAATATGTACTTTCAAGGTTCTGTCTTTGTTTAGTGGCATAACTTGCAGATGGGGAAACAACAGTCATCATCTATTTTTTTTCCCTCTTTCCACTACCAAGAACAAGTTTCACAACTGATACACCTGACTTTCCAATCAGAAATATTCAGATATGCTAATGTCAGTGATGGAAATACAGTCCTAAATCTGTTATTCCAAGACCAAAAATAAAGTTAAATTAACTTAATCATGTGAGTGAATTACTACATATTAGCTATGGTAATTGGCTGTAGGCAAAATTCAGACAAGCTTGCAAACACCTTACATTTGCTCCAGTTTAGCAGTACAAATATCACCACCAGCAATGGATTGTCTAACACAATGTAACTGGTCTTTTAATGTTTTTTGTTACGTCAATCAAAAATTCCAGGAAAACCACTGCTTGTGGCAACACTTACTCATGTTGTGTATTGACCAAATGTCCCTGAACTCAGTTGTTTACAGAGATTTTAGCTTGTTTAGACTTCAGCAGCTGCTTTTGTTCAGCTTGTGTTAGATCTTTTGCTTGCTTTTTGTTTTCATATGCTGTAGGTATATAAATTCTTCAGTTCTATAGATTTTAAGGCTAGAATGAATGATGAGGAATCAGATTTAGTCCAACTTCAGAGGCATAGAGTTTCACCCAGATATGCCTATGTTAAGGCCAGAGATGTTAGGCTAGGAAAACAAACATATTCTTGGCACTTGAGCCCTGTGCAATGAATAAACTGCCAATAAAGTGAAGTTTCCTTAGATCACAGAAGATGAGCTGCAGAAGAAGGCAAGGCAGTCCTGCTTAGCCTACTTAGGGGGAAATTCTTTCCTCACCACCCTCTGGCCCTTTACAGTGTCCCATCTCCAGACCTGCCAGCCTCTGATGCTCTGAAGGAAGCCAAATCTGTAAGAATGTGTGGCCCAACAGCAGATTGCACTTAGACAGTTGCATCTTATTTGGAGGCTGAATTTGTCCAGTTACAGCTTCCCACTGCCAAATCTTTTTATGTCTTTGCAGCAAGTTGAAAAAGGTCCCTTCGGTACAAGAACCACTTTTGTTCTTGCATAGAGGCATCTGATGTGAAGTAACTCTGAATTGATTTTATAAATACATATTTATTGTACAGCCATGTATCTTTTTTTTTTTGTGGCTTGTGGTATTCTGGACAATAAAGTAGATGACCTAGCAATCTGTTCTGACCTTAAAAATCTAGGAATCTATGTTTGTGGCCCTCTACAGAGACAGAAACTAGTTGACAAAAGATCTTTCTCTGTTTCATCCAACAAGGAACTGTTACAGAACTGAGACATGGAATCAGTAATGTATCTGAATGCTAATATCCCTTTATAATTAAGCAAAAATGAATAATTAGTGCAGCCTGATTTGCTGAAAGTCTTTGTGGTTTTGAATGCTCTCATTATCTCAAAATAATACCTAGCTTTGTAATGCCATCCTCAAATAATTATCTTCTGTGAGTTCTGGATAGTAAAACTGACAATGAACTAATCAGGCTTACAACTGCTAAGATACTCTAGTGGACAAAATATTTGACTTGAAATTCAAAATGCAATGAATTGCAGGGTCCCTATGTCCAGAGAGACTAATGAGTTGCTCTGAAACCTGTTGGACAAAGCCTGAACTGCTGAAGTGGTGTCAAAGTGTGCAGGTTCTGCGTCATTTTAGGAGAGATTAAGCGGGCATGTGTAGTAATTTGCGTGACTCAGGCTTTTTTTTGCAAAATGGGTGCTGATTCCAGTCAGCTGGAGTCCCTGAAGCTGCTACCAGTGACTATTACAGTCTATTTAAAAATCATCACCTTTCTTGTTTTCCAGATTATTCAGGACAGAATATTTAAGCACATATCACGTAACAGCTTAATATGGAACAAACATCCTGGAGGGTTATTTGTACTGCCACAGTATTCTTCATATCTGGGAGATTTTCCTTACTACTATGCTAATCTCGGTAAGTGAATCCTTACTGTAATCTAGAGGTATTTGGAATTTATAGTGGAAATTTGTAATTTGATCTTTGAGTGGCATATGCCAAGTGACTTGCCATTCATTTCTACTTAATGATGCCTTTTGGTTATCCTGTCCCAATCTCCCCTGTAGACTGGAATGTCTCTGCCTCATCAACATGCATAATGTGTCTCTTGCTTGCAAAGATTGTTTTTAAAAAAATCTATGTCCCTTCATACTTTTCAGTTGCCAGTAATTAATGCCCGAGTTGCTGACCCGTTCGTGGCCTGAAGGGACATAAGAGGAATAGCTTTTTGCTTTCTTTGTTTATTTGTGCTTGGCAAATTGGAAAAGCGGTAATTTACCCATGACACTTGTTATTGGAGTGCATAGTTGGTATGGATTTATTCTCCATACTATGTGTCTTTGTACAGATCCCACTAGAAGGAATGAGTAGAACTTAGGTTCGTGGCTTTTTCCTGAAGTGGAGCTTAAATGATGAGTTCTGCAGGGGAATGTGCCTGCAGGCTGAAGTGATCCTGCTTACCAGACTGCTGCTACTTTTGGCTCAGCCTGTACCATCCCACTTGTGTAGATCTGTACTGCTCACCTGCTAAAAATTCACAGTTACCATGTTGAAAAGGGAGAAGAAGGTTTCTGTGGGAATTTTGATGAAAAACGACTATGACCCTGCGCAGATGAATTTAGATGAGATTGAGAGCAGTAATGAAGAGTAGACACCAGTAGGATCTGTTATTTCAGGCAGAAAAGGAAATCATAGCGAGACAAAAATATCAGAATGGAAGGCAAGGATGCAAGCAGAATTATCAGCTCAGGAAGTAATTGAAGATGCATGTGGATGGGGATCAACCCAGAAACAGCAAAAGTCTGACAGAGGCTGTAATGGAACTGAGGAAACTGAACAAGCTTTTGGAAGTTGTGGAGATAATCTGTAGAAAACATCAAGCATCCAGAGCCAGGCAGCAAAACAGAGCCCATGTCAAGAAAGGCATTTGATTGAACAGACTAGATGTCAATATTATCTGTGGGACAAACTGGATGAAAGAAAGAGACTGCAGGACATCTGTGGAAATAGTGAGTAAGAAAAGGCAGTAATTGTGTTGGAGTCAGGGATTTCAGAGTGTGTGGGAGTTAAAGGGAAGTGTGATCTCCTCTGAAGAATCTGATAACATAGTATCTGAGACGAAAGGAGATGGCCTAAAAAAACATGGCAAGGTTTGCATCAAGTACAGATTATTTTTCCATCTCCAGAGTCCTTTAATCTGTACTAACGGGGGCAATTTTTCCTTTACTGAACACATACTATCTCTTCACTTTAGGTCTGAAGCCTCTTTCCACATTCACTGCCGTTATCCACGCAGTAACTCCTCTGGTTTCCCAGTCTCAGCCCGTGCTGAAACTCCTGGTTGCTGTAGCCAAGTCCCAGTACTGTGCACAGGTAAGCAGCACTGTTTTGACTGTCAGTCACAGTGGAGACAAAAGTACTATTCCAGGAGTGAAGACCCTACTGACTTCGGATCTTCCCAGTCCTGTTTCATCCCCCTGTTTCAATTCTGATGTTTCTTTTCTCTGAGATTTCTAGTGTCTGTGACCTGCATGTATGGGAAACAAAAATTCTGAGTGTAGTGGGAGTGGAATAGAGACAGTAATTAAACCCCTTTGTTTCACGAGGCAGGTAAAATAATGACTGCACTTCAAAGATCAGGATTGTGTGTGCTGCAAACTGCAAAAGGTTGTCTGTGCCTCAAGAGCCCCTACATGATCTTTCTTCCTCCCACTGTGGCTCTTAGTCTCATCTGTGCCAGGATTTTGGCTTCTCAAAAAGAAACCCCAGGGAGTTCAGTAGGAGCACCCTCTTGCAGTGAAGTGTCACAAGTGGTTTAGCCTTTAATGAGAGCCAAAGTAAATCAGTGACATCTGTATGACCTGGCCGAGATAGAGACTTTCTGAGTTCCTGTCCAGCCTGTATTTGCCTGAGTGGACATATATTGTAAATAATCAGAATGGGTTAAATTACTCTATGAAGTGTTATTTTTATACAGATTTGTATCGTTAATTTTGAAATTCCTAATTTGAATTGTAACATTTCTGTCTGGAGATCTAAGTCCTAAGAGTTTGGACTGCATTGCCACAAAGGTCTCTGATCATGGTCCAATATTCTCTTTCAGATTATTGTTTTATGGAATTGTGATAAACCCCTCCCAGCCAAACACCGCTGGCCTGCCACTTCTGTGCCTGTCATAGTCATTGAAGGAGAGAGCAAGGTAGGAGCAGAGAAACATCGTAAAGGATTGTGTATATTCTCCAGGGGGACCAGAATTTATTTTTCTGGCTGCTTTGGTGAAACCTTTGTAGTTCCCAGCAGTGTGACATCTCCTTTCTATTCCTTGGCCCTTTGTAGGAGCTTGGTCACAGATTTGTGTTTCATGCATGGGGTCCCATGCTCTCAGAAATCATCAATGTGGCAGTTAATGCCGTGAATCTGAGATTCACAGGTGGAACCCAGTTTTGAAATGTGGCCCTGAGAGTAGGTAGTGCTGACCCTACCTTTGGAGATTTCTGTCTCTCTGCAGGTGCATGAAGGTAGTGGTGCAGCTGGATTCATTCACTGAGTCTGAGAAGTCAGATGCAAGACTTGGGGGGCAGCTGTGGACTCAAAAGCAGAGGAGGAGATCAGAATGAATAATACTAGCTTGCCTTTGAAAAGTACGTTCTTTCATGGCCTTGTAGGGTATTGCTGCCATTGATGGGATCCCACCAAAAAAGGAAGGGACAGGGGACACTTGCGTGGGAACAAAACCACCATACATCATTTGCTGTACAACACACTTGTTTGTTTGCACTTCCACAAAGTTGAAACAGATACCACTCAAATGAGAAGAGAGGGTTTTTTTTAAATCCACACTGAAGTGGATGATTTCTTTCCAAATGCAGGCCTGACAGAAGCAAGACTTCTTTCTTCTAGACTCTGACTGAGACAGATTTGGGCTGGTCCCCTCTGCAATCCCTGTCAGCTGGCTCTTGAGCTTTGCATTTGCAAAGGGAAAACTTTTTAGTTGCTTTGCCTGTACAGTCTTGTTCTGAATTTATAGTCCTATCTTTGGTCTTTTACCCCAGTCACCTCAACAGGGGGAAAGCAAGAGCTCTGCGAGGTTGGCAGCAAATGGCTCTTGCCTTAGCTAGCCATGTAAACGGTATCAGGAGAGTTGCTGCAGGGCCGAGAAAGCCTGTAGTGATTTCTGAGCCTTTTGAACGTTGTGGGTTTTATTTCTTTTTGGAAAACTTGCAGAGGTGAGATAGAGGAGAAGATCTCTGACCAGTTCTAAAGTGTTTGTAGAAATTGGCTGCAGGCACTGTTTAGATTACAAATTAGTCTCCTGAGTACACAAAGGTGTGTTTATAGTGGCAGTGTCTTCCCTCTAATATCCCAAAGTATGCCAAATGTCTTCTTGCATGGAAAAGCTGTTTGTTTGGACAAAGTTTGCAGAGCCAGAGCAGTGCAATTCAAAGGTTGCACAAAGGAACTGCTTTTCATCTTCAGGCTTGTCTGAAGCGTACTGACAGGCGCTTCTGTTACTCTGTGCAGGTGATCACAGAGGTCTGCCTTTACCTAACCTTCACTCTTCCCCATGAAATCAAGATATATTACCACACCTATTTTACAAAAGGGAGCTTTAGCTACAAAAACAATACATGGGTAGTCCCGACTGTTGTACTATGACAATTTCACATGGTCTGTAAAGGCTGAGGTGAGAGCATGGGTCTCCTGGTGACTGCTTGCTCTGCTTTGCCTTAACATAAGCAAAGCAAACCCATCAACCTCTGTCAGATCAGCTCTTCCTCACAGCCTCCCCGGACCAAGGCCATCATAGCGATGAAGGGATGCTCTCCAGACAGATTCTGTGAACATCTTGATTATAGAGGCAGAACTTTTTCTGAATCGAGGCATAGATTCCAAAGACTTGCTTCCAAACAGGTTGCAGGGCATGCAGAACTGACCATGTCCATTATGAAGGATGTGTAAAACTTTCCCATGTCCCTGTTTCCATATGTTGATTTCCTCTTACTGGGCCTGATTTCTGTAGTGTTTTCTTGGCATAATAAATTGGAAGTCTATTAACTAGCCAGACTATTTTTCGTAGCAAATGCGGGAAACAAATAGTGTTGTGTCCTTGTTACTATTCATCAGTTCTCAAAAGGTGCTAATTAGTCTGCTAAAGAACCCATATGGATTCTCATTTCTTGCTGTTATCTTTTTGATCTTGCTTTCCCATCAGTTTCCTATTACTTTGAGAACTCTTCTGCCATAATTTTTAAAAGCTTATTTTGCATATAGATTTTATATATATAGTTATATCGCTTAAGAATGTGACTTTTTAAAATACTACATTACCAATATAATTCTTGATGCAGGTAAGGCTCAACTGATGCACATGTTCTTTAGCATATTCTCCTTTTCTGATGGAGAATGTTGCACCACTTGGCAGCAGCTCCCTGTGGATACAGCAGCAATGCACAGAGATGGAGCTGTACCACTTATAGGGGAACTGTCCTGGTAGCATAATGTCCTTCACACACAGCTTGGACTACTTGGCTTCCCAGCTGTGTAACCTTATGAAAGCTGCAGAGTCCTTCCCAGCTTTCATTATTTTTGATCCTCACACCCCATATGAGAGCTGAGAGACAGTCCTAGCGACCAGGGAAAATGTCCTCCCTATAGAAGCTGTAGGTACATCTAATTCTCAGTACGGACCATTGCAGTTTGTCACAAAGGAAAGCAGCCTGCTCCAAAGAGGGAGGTCTGTTCAGAAATTAGTCCTCAGGTGGAATGTGTAGGCTGACTGCTGGGCTGATGAAAATGACAGTCTTTCACTCTTGAGCTGAAGGGTCCTTTCCATCAGACAGAGATATGTGGTGTGCCTCAGACAAGAGGAAGTAAGAGTGAGGAATAAAATGGAGTATTTCCCATGGAAAGTAGTTCTTCAAGTGATTTATTTCATCCTGTTTCTGCCTTGGATACCCACAGGTTATGAGCAGTCGCTTCCTACCCTATGACAACATAGTGACAGATGCAGTGCTAAGCCTGGATGAGGACACCGTGCTTTCAACCACTGAGGTAAGGGTCTCTCTTGTCTTGGGTGTCTGGCTCCTAAGCTCAGCCTAAGCACAGCAGATAGGCTCTTCTTCTGGATTTGCCAGTGAGCAAATGCTACAAGATTTCTTGCTACACTCCTCAGATTTAACGTGTTGCACTTGTTTCAGCAACCCTGCCACTGCCTGCCATCAGAGGAGCTTTGCGCCCTGGTTAATTGGCTCATCATTAGCATATGGTTCTTCCGTTCTTTATTATTTTAGTAACATATCTGCAGGCGGGTGTAGGCAGCCAAGAGCAGTCAGCTTTAATACACTGTTCTCACTTTTCTGATTGGGGTAGCTTTCACTCCCCACACACTTTATCAGTAGGGCGTAGGTGGGGAAGGAAGGGGTGTCAGCAGAAGGGGACTGCTGTCGCTACAAAAGACAACGTTGCAGCCCTAGTGCAGGATTTCACTGAGGAATGTTTTCTTACCATTGTGTTGCCCCATAAAATTGGAGATCATGCCTAGTTTAGGTGTTGGAGTGTTTGTGCCAAGAGCAAGATAGTGCTAAGAAAAGAAAAATACTGTAGAAAACCAATTTTTACAACTGGGATGAGTATTGATTTCTGGAACCTCTTCCTGAGAACCACAGGGGAAACTGATGACAGATTATATAGAGTGCAATATTTGGGAAATACATTATTAATGATGAACAGGGAATAGCTTGAAAAACTCGATTTCCTTTTGTTTTCCCTTTTTTTTTTCCCACGTTCATGGCCATTCCCTTCTCCCCACTTCACCTTTATAAAAATGCTTTTTTGTCAGTGATGGGGATCTTTCTACCACTGCTTATATGTCAGTGAAAAACATAGAAGAAATGCCTAACATTAGTCGCCAGTCACCACTGTATACCCTAAGATGTCACTAAATTTGTTTTACATGAATGAGGTTGCAACTGCCTTTCTCTCCAGTATGGATTTGTTGTGCTGTGGTTAGACTCCTCCAGAAGGAGCCACGATAGCCCTCTTCTGCTGCACAGATGGAAGAAGTAGTTAGCATTGAACCTATTTGATACCAAGATCATACCTTGGTAGTTTCTGCTAGATGAGGAAGATATAGCTGCTGCTAAAGCACTTCTGTGCAAAGCCCTGAATGTCCAAAAAAACCCCAAACCAATAAAAGACATTTATCCTAGGGCTGGAGTTACTAAGCAGGGTGTTGCTCAGGATGAAGGGTCCTGTCCTAGCTGCCCTGGGGGCCATGGTAAGACCTCTCAGGGACTTCATTGCCCTGAGGTGGCATTTACAGCAATCCAGCCTCTGGATTCCATAAGGATTTGAGGCTTTATTTTGTTTTAACTGGTATTTAGTCATCATCCAAACTTTAGAGTCATTCAGGCTTTTGGAAGAAGTACGAAATAAATTATGTTTCTCATTCGGCTTGGCCGTGTTTTACCCTAAACATTCTGAAACACAAATATTTGTTGTTGTGTGAGACAACATACACATTTATTTGTGGCTTCTTTCCTGCTGTGAGCAGCTTGCAGCCAATGTTGCGTGTTTGCACGGTGGATATTGGCTCTATGAGCCCCGTGGCCCGTGTGCTGCAGTGAGAACCAGTTGGCCAGCTCTTGCTAGCACCCACCTTGCAGCTTTGGTGTGTCTCTGCTGGAGTGCCAGTGTCAGTAGCTCTCTTTGGTGGCTCTCTGTGAAGAACTGGCACCTTTCTGTTGCTTCAATTCCCCCATCATATGGCTTACGCAAAGAAACAGCATGTTGAGACACTGACATGAAATATGTGGTGTGAAACTTACCTTGAAACTAGCTGTTCATGGATGGCTGTGACAAAACTTCAGGGCCCAGAAAAGACAGTTTAGAAATGTGGTCAAACACAATCACATTCCTATTGAGAGGAGCAGTCACCAGTCACATCCTCCACTCTGTCCAGCTCTAGCATAGTAAAGGTTTTCCGTTCACAACAGAACAGTGCATAATTGCTCTTTTGAGAGGAGTTGTGTCACATGCTCAGAGGTTTGTTTGCGTGGGAAGTAATTAGAAATCAGCATGGGTCAGAAGTGATATGGCAGTTTAAGAAACTGGCAGCCTGGTTGGTCAGGTGAGTGGTAATGCTGGTGGAAATGATATAGCATGAAGACTGTTTGTTGGGGTTTTTTTTAATAAGGGGAGTTTTCTGTTAGGGTAGTTGCTTTAGTGCATCTCCCTGGTACAAGGACAGATACTTGAAAGCACAACTGAGGGCACTGAGTGCAGCTGCTTTATTATTTAGTTAAGTTTGAGATTCTCAGACTTCTCTAAAGAAAACAGATGTCACGTTTTATGGGAAAGGCCTTTACAGGGGAAAAAAACCCTTTAGTTCTTTCATGTGGTATTGATTTGGATGAGATCAGAACTATCACAACGGTAACTGGTTTGTGCACATTGTCTTTCTAGTTGACCTCAGATTCCTTGAGGCAACTTGAAAGAAAATAACCAGTCCCTAACTTTGTGTTCCAGTACATGTGCAACTCTTCTGTTTCATAAAAACACTTGTAAATGTGAGAAGTCTGACAGTAATCACACAAAATGTGACTGTTCTCAGAGCAGCTATTCTTTATCTAACCTCTGCACCCTTGACTTTGGCTGGGTTCTTGGAAAGCTTTTCAAGAATTTTTGAGCAAAGTTTTAGGTCCCTCTGGTACTGGAGGGAACTTGGTGTGCAGTGCAGAAACAAAGCCCTCATTTTCTTGGGTTTGACTGGGACAATTAAAATTGTCTTTAAGTCTTTTTAAAATTTCAGTCTCGCTTGAGGTCCAAAATCTGAATTGAAGTGGAGGGACTGCCAACTAACTTTACAGTGATAAAAATATTTCCATATGTATTTTTACCAAATCCCTCTCAAATCTAGTGCTAACGAGACTTCTGCAAACTATCCAAATCAACCCTTTCCTAGTGTCGTCAGGATTTGTTTTGGGGTCCTGGGATAGCAATGTCCTATCACCTTCTGAACTCTCAGAAATTTATTAAAATAGGCACAGCAAGACAATCAAACATGAAAAACACTATTGGCAGCATTTGACATCTTGTGGCTCATACAGTCTCAAGCATTTTTCTTAAAGTATAGGCTTTTAAAGCCATTTAACTCCATGGGAATCTTATCTTCCTCTTTATTAAGCTATATGTTTAATGCTCTTGGTCAGGTCATGGAGACAGTCTTAAAAGTATGACCTGCATGGTCCTCAAAGGCTCAGAATGGATGGAAGACATAAAACGACTCACCATTGATTGCCTGTTTTAATCTCCCTGGGCTACCCTTATAATTTAAGGTGTTTGACTCCTGATTTTCCAAGCTTTGTGTTAACAGTGCTGAAATGGTAGGTGAGATGCACAAAGATGTACAGAAGATTCATTTTACCACAGAGCTATTACCACTCTATTGCATCTAAGTATAAATACATGCACCTACACCCATTCTTTCTGTAACTTGAAAAGGTTTGATATGTAAAGGGCAAGCTTGAAAATGTTAATGTAATGCTGTGATGCTCTAGACTCCTTTTAACAGGAACCATTAAAATGTGCATAATTATAGGGCAAAATGTCAAGCAGTCAGTTTAATTTACTGATGAATACATAGAATTAAATGTTTTGCAACAGTTCCAAGATTCTGAATTACGAATTAGTGGCAAGGTAATATTTTGTTTTGTTGACATTTGTTGAAACAGTTTCGGTATTCATTTGGCCTGTGCTTTTGTCCGCAGGTGGATTTTGCCTTTACAGTTTGGCAGAGTTTTCCAGAGAGGATTGTAGGATACCCTGCTCGCAGTCACTTCTGGGACAACACTAAGGAGAGGTGGGGGTATACCTCCAAATGGACTAATGACTATTCCATGGTATTGACAGGAGCTGCTATTTACCACAAGTAAGAACCCAGAGCATCTGCTGTCCTCCTTCTGTATGAAACAAAATAGTGAAGGGGGTGGGGGTGTGAAGACATTCTTCCGGGGAGGAGAAAAAATGGGAAGATAATAAATGGGTCTACTTTTTATGGGGTAATAATTTAAGTTCTTGGTTTAGCTCTGGGGATCTGGTAATCATTACTGTGCTTGTTGGGTCTCTTTGAAGTCACTTGTATTTTGAGGCAGTCGGACTGCTCTTTTTAACATCAGGAATTACACACTTCAAAGAGTTCCCGAATTCATTAAGCTGCTCTGCTGAATGGCCTGTAGCACAGCAGAAAGGAGGTTGCTTCCAGACCAGCTCTGGGTATGTGTTGGCTGACAGCTGCAGACTGCAAAGTCTTCTAGAAATGCAGTACAGTGGACACATCACAGGTCAGCTTATTGCAGCGTGTTGGAGAAAACCGCTGTTGTTAGGATTTGAGCAGACCAAGGACCTCTCTAGATTTTAGGAGAAAGTCAACAAATTCCGGAGTGCCTAATCCACATCCCCACAAAGGAGAAGACAGGCCATAAGGAATGATATAGGCCCAAAGGAGAATAATTTCAACAATAAGGACAGTAGTAGGCCAGTTTAATAGAGTTCTCTCCAACTGAACAGTTTTGAAAAAAGAGTTGGGGGATGAATTTATCAATGTCATCTATCACATCATAGCAATGTAGTGCTCTCTTTCCTACTCCTTCATTATCTTGATACTTAGGTATCAGTATTATTATTTCTTTCAACCTAGTTACAAAAAAGGCATTTGTTTTGTTTCTCCATTAGCACTATTTACTGTCTTGATGAGATACTGATTTCTTCTCCCTTCTTGTTGGAGGATGAGACCAAAGAATGGAAGTGATATATCCAGAGTTGGGTACATAACTTGTGACTCAGCTGAGATAGAAATTTCCTGGAGTTTGTAGTCCCTGAAAGCCCAGTGACTGGTATTAATAACACTGCTGTTGATTTCCAGATATTATCACTACCTGTACACTCATTACCTGCCTGCCAGCCTAAAGAATATGGTGGACCAACTGGCCAATTGTGAGGACATTCTAATGAATTTTTTGGTGTCAGCTGTGACAAAATTGCCTCCAATCAAAGTAACACAGAAAAAACAGTATAAGGAGACCATGATGGGACAGGTATGTATCCACAGCATGTTTTAGCAGTTGGGATGTATTGATAACATAATGGTTTGACTTCTAGGTTAGGCTTACAGAGTGATACAATTCTATTTTTTTTCAGTTTAGTAGAACTGTTAGTAGACTTTAGATATGCTTGTTATAATGAAGGAAAATCCAAAAGGAGAAATCATAAACATCTACTGTAGATGACAGCATCTCTTCATAGTTTTCTCACACAGTGTTATTCGTGGTGATCCCAAACTCATGGAACTCATGATTGTGGTGACCAAATTTCAATTAAACTCCAGTTTTCTGATTAAATCTTCTAGACCTAAGACCTAGTCATGGAATGCTAGAAGCAGAAGTAGGGGTGGTTTTTTTTCATTATTATTGAAGAATATAATGTACCGGGCTATTTTAAAGTATACAGTATGATTCAAGCACTGACACTGGACTGTCACTGGACTGTCACAACAGAGGTAATTTATGATATTCAAGTGTGTTTCCCACAAGGAACATTTTGTCCCATGGTGACACCATCACTCACTAGCAGCCATGAAATGCTTGCTTTAGAGACTCTTCCAGCTACTGCATAAGCACTCTGTCATTGGAGAAACAGATATACCTTCCAGTAACAGGGATACGTGGCAACCTGGGGGCACTTTTCCTCCTATGTGAACAAGCGATGGGAAGAATAGCAAGTCCTGCAAGACCTACAAGTCCTAAACAGCCTCCCAGTTGTGCTGCCACAGTGTCTGTAATCTACACTACAAACAGTACCAGGATTACTAGGGGGCAGGAGAAAGAAGTGGCCCTCTATTTTCCCCTCACATTTTCTTCTATTAGCATTACTTGGATCTTTGACTGGGGAGTGGCCATGCCAGTTTGTAGACTCCCTTATCTGTATGCCACTGCGCTTTCATCTGAGGTATAGGTAGTAATTCAGCAATTCTGACTCATCTGGGTACCCATGAGACCTTCTGTGAACAAGAAGGTGCCATCCAGAAAGTACCTATTACTTCCAGTCTGAGCTTCACCTCTCCACAGGGCGTGCTTTGGCTGTTTGGCAAAGTCTGAACATTCATTTTTCTTCTCAGAGCGTGGGTGATTTGAGTCAGCCATGAACTATAACTCTCTCCTAAAGACAAGTTGTTCCTGCAGCTTTGGGAAATGTAATGGACCATGTTCATAATTCCTTGAAAGACAAATAAAAAATTAACATAACCTCAGTGTTGTGACAGAGATTAATAGTCCTATGGAAATTCACTGTTAATGGCCAGAATGCCTGCTATAATCCTCTAGAAACAAGCTTTTGCTTGCTCTTTAGTGGCTTGGTATAATCAAGTCTGTAATCAATGCACATTATGACCTAACGCTTGAGCTAAACTGGACAGGCCTTGGACAAAGATCAAGTCTGATACCACATTCATTTGGCAAGTACCCGACTTTATCAGTTTCTTCAAGTTTTAATTAACATACTTTGAATTTATTAATTTTCTTTTATTTTAAGGTATAGTGGAAAAGTAAGTGCTATAGAGAGATGCATGACAACTGGCGCAAAAAAAATCTTAGGTACTCAGCATTCATACTTTATCTTAAATAAGACTTTTATTATGTTTATACATGTAGTTTAAGTACAGGTAGAGAATAATAGCTGCTTCAAAGCTGTTAGTGCCTTATTTTTCCAGAGGTGCTGAGTTTCAATGGACATTCATCAGAATTACAGCTGCTCTGAACTTTGCAGGCCACAGTATTTTGCATGTATGAATGCAAAGACCATGGTCAAAGACCAGGTCAGAGCTTAACATGATCTAATGTAGAACTTCAGTTAATTTTCTCCATCTGTAGGATGGTACTGTCTTATGCACTGGCCTCAACTGGTGCACCCTGCTTTTTCCTGCAGGACATCTACACACATGAGTAATGCCAAGCACATAAAGACTTCTGCTGAGCTCAGTTTCAAGCTGGTTGAAATTACTTTTGTATAAATTTCTGCAGATCTGGACTGCAAAAGTGTGGTTTTGACCTGAGAAACCATAATTTCAGTGTGTTTTCCTCCTGTGGCTGAAGGCTGTGGGCAGCAGCTGTCCTTAGGGTGTGCACCTCCAGTGGAAAGCAGTGGCCTTCTTGTCTTGCCTGGTGTTTTTTGAAGACTTGTTCTATCTCTGGAATAGCTTGAGGGTTTATAAAAGAGTGAGGGATGGGGAGAAGCAGGGTGCTGTCAGGCTTTCGGAGGTGTCATGCTCCAGGTCAGGCTGGCTCGTGGCTGAACTCGGGCTGCCGTGCCGCGCTGCCCTCAGCATCGTTTCAAAGGCCGGAGGTGGCCAGCTCGCCATCGCCAGCTCCCGCTGTGGGCTGGGTGTCCTTCTGGTTTGAAACCCCAGCTGAGCAGATTTCAGCTACCTCAGAGCCACGTGCTCTCAAGCCCCCCGCTCCACCCCCCAGCATGGTGTCAGCCCAGACTCAGCGCCCGCCATTTCCCGCCCTTTCATTGTGTCATGGTCAACATCTGATTTCTGCTCTCCTCTCCACACAGACGTCCCGGGCCTCGCGCTGGGCCGACCCCGACCACTTTGCCCAGCGGCAGAGCTGCATGAACACTTTCGCCAGCTGGTTTGGCTATATGCCGCTGATCCACTCTCAGATGAGGCTCGATCCTGTCCTCTTTAAAGACCAGGTCTCCATCCTGAGGAAGAAGTACCGAGACATTGAACGACTCTGAGGAGCGCTGCTGAGGGGGCCGAGCCGCCCTCCGCCCCGCACGGCCGCCAGTGTGTGGAGCCAGACTGTGCCGCCGACAGCCAGCGCCCGACCCGATGAGCGGTGACCCGGCGCCGGGGCTGCACTGCTCCGGACTGTGTCGAACCGCCTGGCAGGCTTCTTGTCGCTCAAGACTAGGTCGTGTACAGTTTCATTATGGAACATTAAATAATTATTTTTGAAATGATTGCTATGCAGGTTTAAACTTTTTTAATGATCAAAAAAAAAACCTATTAAAAACAGAGTTCTTTCTTTAATCAAAATTGTGTTGGTTGTGAATATTTCAAAGCTGCCGTTTCTTTCTTTCATGCATTTGATTGTCAATGCAATTTTCATTCATTTTCCCCTGAAGTTAAATGCTTGAATCTCATGGGGAGAAAATGCAGCAGGTTCAGAAACAATCTGAGCACAAGCAGGACAGAGCTGAAGTAGTAACATTTCTCATTTACTGCTGACTTTTTCATTTTTTTTTTCTTAGTTTTCCCTAAGCCAGTAGTGTCCACTCCTTTGGATGGATGGAAAACTGGAGAAGCTCCAATGAACCAGGCAAGAGCATAGATCCTTCTGGTTGGGGACCCCATTTTTAAAAGCAGTCAGCCTTGCCGTGAAGGGAGAGAGGAACACTACTGCCAAGGAGCAAACCGGTGATGTGGAGCACAGGGAGGGCTTTATGCACAGCAGGGGTGCAGTGCCGGTTGTGTATTCTGGTAGGAGAAGTACATCCTGAACATCCCAGCCGTGGGCGAGCATCACAGGAGCAGCCGTGTGGGACACGTGCAGCCTGCGCCAGTCCCTGCTGCCTGGGGGCAGTGCTGGCCGCTTGGCCGCAGCAGCTCAATTTCTAGAAATAGCTTTGTTCTGAGGGCAAAAGGGGTGTTGATGGAAAAAAAGAAAGCATGTTACTGCTTGCAACACAGAAATTTGGCCTGTAACAGATTGGTTTATTTGAAATCAAAGCATGGGCTTCTCTTTCTTTTCTTTTTTTTTGGAAGTGCAAATAAGTGAAGAAATTCCTTCCTAGAAGTCTGACGCCTCAAGTAAAGGATATGGTCAGACACAGGGTTCCAGTGGCAGTGGGTGCTCCCAGGCATACTTGGAGCAGGTTAACTTGGACAAAAGACCTGCCCCTGAAATACTGGCATTGCTCATGCTCCAAAATGGGTTTAGCATTTCAAATGAAAGTATTTTAAAATTGAAATATTCCACTTGTTTATTTTGCTGTAGTGCTTTTATTATTTATGTGTTTCTTTACATTGAAGGATGATAACAAAAGCAGTGATGTGGGTCAGAAAGATGCCATTCCAATTTGCTAAGAAAATAAGCACTTTAAAACCACTTCGAACTCTCACATTTTGATGAGGGGCATTTGGGGTACTCTATAACAATCGTCACCCCCAAGAGCTCTGTTAAAGTCACAGCTAGAGGGTTTAATGCCGATGCCCAGAAGACCAGCAAGCCTTTCTATACCTCATTCCTTTGTAAAAAGGCAGTCCGGTAGCAGGGGTGAAGAGTAGCTATAGTGCTAGGAAGGGTGGACCCGAATTATTGCCAGTTTCGTTCAGGCTCAGGCATCAATTTATTACACAGCTTTAAGCAACTCCCATAACCGAGGCATGCCTCAGTTTCCTCATTTGTAATAGGTACTGGTTGTACAGCGAATGCTGTGAAGCTAAATAATTTCTCTTGCTGGTAAGATCAGAATCCCTAAACAGGAAGTTGCTGTAAAAGTGCAAAGTACATATTTTGCTATAAGTTTGTATACAACCTGACATGTAAAGACTTGCAAAGAATGCTTAGCTTTGAGTATGTATTGCAATATTTGAACAGAGCACAGCAAGTTAGGGCAGGAACATCAGGTTCCTGACATTTTATGTTAGAATCATATAATCATACAATGGTTTGGGTTAGAAGAGACCTTAAAGCTCATCTAGTTCCACCCCCCCTGCCATGGGCAGGGACACCTTCCACTAGCCCAGGTTGCTCACAGCCCCGTCCAACCTGGCCTTGAACACTGCCAGGGAGGGGGCAGCCACAGCTTCTCTGGGCAACCTGTGCCAGCGTCTCACCGCCCTCACAGTAAAGGATTTCTTCCTTGTATCTAATCTGAATCTACCCTCTCTCAGTTTAAAGCCATTAGTCCTTGCCCTCTCACTACATGCCCTTGTAAATCTGAACCAAATCTTCAAAGAAACCTGCCAGTACATGTGTGAGACTGCACCTAGTGACATATGCTGCTGAAAGGAAGAGGTGCCACTTTTTCCCCCATGCCCATTGCTCTCCCCAGCCCCTGGCCACACTGTCTTGCCTGACACCTTCTTCCATGCTGGAAAACTGTCCAGTGATTTACTGGATTTTTTAATGCCCTTTTAGAGAATTAAATCAGCATGTAAAGAGATGTGTAAAGAGGTAAGAGTAGGTAGGCATGGCCAGGGAGGGAAGGGGAGCAGGAAATGGTCCTGTCTTTGTAGGGTGAGCTGATAATTCAGCTCCCTGTATGCCATAAAAACCTGAAGCTCACTTCCCTGTGCTCTCGGGTCTGTGCTTGCTGATCTATGGGAGAAGGTAAAGTCCAGTGGTTTCATTTTCCAAAGTGTATGGCTCAGCAGCTCCCATGCGACTTTTTCCTTTTGGAGATCAGGCAGCTCTTTCAGGGCTTCTCCTTTCAGGCACCTTCTCCTTAGACTTGTTTTTTGGAGAATGTGGTGAACACTGGATGAGGTTGGCAGGGCTTGCTCTTTGCTCATGTCCTGGTTTGCAGAAGGGCGTGTGGATGTGTCCACAGCAGCATCTGAACCTCTGGGAAACAATTAATGGTCTGTAGCTAGCAAGAGTGGAGTGGGAGAGGGAAAGATGGGACCCTACAAAACCAAGAATTACAGTTCTGCTTGGGTTTTAGTTAGTGCCATTTTGGGGCACATTGGTTGGGTTTTTAGTAAAAAAGAGAGTAGCCAACCATTTTCGGAATGCAGCGAGTCAGGCCAAGCTTTTAAGCTGCTTGACATTCTGTTATCGTCACTTTTTGGGGTGGCTGAAAGAGACTGTGCTAAAGCTCACTCTCAATTTGATTCAAGGCCCTTTCTGTTTACAGATTGCTAAATAAGCAAGTAACAATGAAAGGCTTAGCTCTAGAAGGGATGTGGATAGGTAGGAGCATTCTCTTTGCATCACGTTACCCAGGCATAGCTGTCTCTCTAGGAAAGAATGTGCCTCGTGGCCAGTCTGGAGAAGGGCCGTTGGTCTCCGTGTCCATGGCCCAGGGACCCAGGGGAAGCAGTGGACACAGATCCAGCTTAGACATTCGGTGTGTTACATTCAATGCAGGCGTTACCAGCCAACGCTCCTAAGAACAGTAGGCATGCTTCCAAACCTCCCGTGTGTATCAGTGTTGGATAGAGCTGTGTTGTTTCCTTAGTGAATGAAATCACCCTTTTGTCATGTCCATGTGCAAGTTAATGGTTCTTTATTCTTTTATTTCTCCCCCCCTTGATTCAGATGGTGCTGAAACAAGGTTCACTCCTTGTTGCTCCTTTTGTAGTTTTTTTTTTTATTATTTTTCATTAACAGCAGGCTATGTTAGCCTTTACTTTACAGGTACTTGAATGCCTGATGACTTGACTGAGTGTTACGCATGTGGCCTTTCGTAAAGGTTACTGACCTTAATTTAATCAGGGGTGAGATGGATGGATGAGTGTGAATAGATCCCATGCCATTAAAACAGAATAAAAGTAGGGATTACTTTTACTTGGGAGAACTGATGAATTTTTAACTGAATTTATTAAAGGAAAAAAAAGAAAGAAGAAAGAAAGAAAGAAACCCTTCCCAGTTATAATATGAATGAGATCAATTGCTGGAGGAGGGTTTCATAATGTGGAAAACACAACACAAAAATAGAGGCAAACTTCCAAGATAGAAAGTGCCTGGCTCTCCTTGCAGTCCCTTGGGCCTGTACAAGATTTTATTTGCCCTCTTTCTATTTTGTGAAAAACATAATTATTACCATAACTTTTTGTAGATGTGAATGTTCAAGCTTTGTAGCAATTTCATAGTGAACACACTAGTGTGCTAATGTATGGCTATTGAGTGCTTTGATGTTTTCCATTGGAAAACATCATGGATTTGATCAATTTCAGATTGCCAGTTCTTTTTTAGAGCCAACTTTGACAAAGAAATTAATCTTTCACCAGTGAGCGCCTTTTAAAATAGCTCATTTACCAAAAGTTGTCATTTCAAGAATGGAAGTAATCATTTGACACTGAAGCAATGAAGAAACAGCTAGAAGTACACTAGGGTATTTTTTTAAGTATTTAAGTTCCTATTATAAAATCCAGTGTCCTCCTCTTTCTCCTCCCATATTGAAACTAGAAGTCTATTCAGTGGTTGTCCTAACATCTGTACTGATGACAACAATTTTATTAATTCCTCCAGTTAAACATCCTCTTACAGCATGGAGTGGATTGGTGGTCTGCTCTTTTTTTTTCCAGGCTGGCTCTGCTGTCTGTTGCAGAAAAGTGGCCTTCAAGGGCATCAGCCTGATAGAGCCATTTCCCTGGGCTTTAGCGGGATTTCACGGGGATGGGCCTGGGGTCTTCTGAGAAAGGGACCTGCCCCACGCAGGGTCTCAGTTGGTGTCTACTGGAAATAAAACCACATCTTCCAAAATTTTGTACATCTCACCCTTGTTTAAAACTAAGTCAAGCTGGCCTTTATACCACTGTTTTAACAGTCTTCACACACGTTTTTTAAGTTGGAGTTAAATTAGGGGGAGTTTTAATTATCAGGGGTTATGGGACTCATCAGATGCTTTGGGATGCTCCCCCCCACTCTTTCATGATGTTTTTAGTGACTATTTCACAGTGGATTAGTGATGATCCAATGGGCCTTGTGACCTTGTACATAATCCTGTATATTTATTTTGAAAGAAAATATGTATAGTGTTTGGATGATGAGAATGGAAACCAGAAATGGGAATTCTTAGGTGGGCAAATGTAAAGCAAAAAAGCAAACAAAAAATACAGTCTTATTTTGTATAAAATGTACATTTTTGAGAAAAATTTTCTAATGCATTACCAATGTTTTCATAGTGATGCCACATCCTTTTTTAAAGTGTTTCTCCCTCTTTGTTTGACTATTGACAACATGGTGCAATTAAACCTAAAGCAAGTGTGTGAGTGAGAGGAAAAGAGAGAATGAGAAATTGAAAAGCCATATAATTTGGTTTACTTCATTAACCTGTATACCATCATAGGTTTACCATCTAAGATAGGTTGTTTTTATAGATAGTGTCACCAAAGACTTTTTTTCTTCAGATTTATTTTGAAAAGTTGTTAATAAAGGACATACATTTCTGTTGCAGTGTGGTTTTATTTTTAAGGTAGAATAACACATCTTGCTTGTGCTCTTAAAAATGTAAATTGGGAAGCGTGATTGCCATGTGTCTCAAGTTCAGGATAGTTAAATGAATGTCTCTTTTATCTGCTTTATCCTCTGCTTGAACTGAGCAATGGCTATATGTATATCTTGTGTCTGTTATATAGATAATATACATGGTACAGCATCTATACACAGTGGTAACTAGTCCAGCAACATTGGCAGGTGTTTACTGTCTTACGTGAGGGCAGAAAAACCTTCAGTCTGTGTCACTCGTGCATGGCAGGACAGTATCCCTGCGTTGTGACACAATCATTGGTAGGTAACAGTGACTGTTAGACAGAGTCACTGTAAATGTTTATGTTCAGAAATGATCTCTCCACCCGCCTGGAGGCCTTGGAAGGCTGATCCCTGCAAGCTGAGAATGTATTCACTTACTGACCCATATCTATTGTTGGTGGGCTATCAGAAGCCTGTCACAGTCACAGAGGATTGCATTCATCCCACCTAACTCTAGATGCCTACAAAGCACTCCTCCCTCTGTCAGAGCTGGACCTCTCTGTCTCCCTGCATAGTCAGTGGACAGAACAAAGTATTGATGGGATTATCCTCACTGATTTCAGACATGGGCTTTAGCATGAGATAAGTTGCACCTCATGTGCTGGTTTCTCTCTGCTGACAGGACAAGGACACCAATTGCAGGTCCTGCAGTATAGGTACCAACAACATCTGGTCACAGAATCACAGAGTCATCAAGGTTGGAAAAGACTTTGAGGATCACCTAGTCCAACCATTAACCCAACACTGACCGTTCTCAACTCCGGTATATCCCTCAGTGCTATGTCAACCCAACTCTTAAACCCCTCCAGGGATGGGGACTCCACCACCTCCCTGGGCAGCCCATTCCAACGCCTAACAACCCATTCTGGAAAGAAATGCTTCCTAATATCCAGTCTAAAATGAATCCTATGCTGGAAAAGTTCCTGATAACACCAATGGGCTCGGGATCATGGCCCATAAATGTGAGGGATTAGTCACTAGTCGTTCCCATCAGAGATGTCCAGGCTGGCCTCATTCCTTCTGGGGTTCAGAGCATGAAGAGGTCCTTATGTTGTCATCCCCTCTGATCTGCCAGTCGTAGAAGACTGATGTATCTTGGAAAGAGCCTGAAAGATGTGGGTGAGTGCTCTGCTCCTGGTGTCCTGAGTCATTATAGGTTCCTCCAAAACAGAGCATTCCAGCAGCCATTGGTGTTTGATATTGGTTATGGGGTCTTACCTGCCAGAAAATGAGCAAAAAATTGTTACCCTGGAAATGATCTGAGAACAGTGTTCCTACTCCTTCAACATTTGAATTCTTGGGTTGTCACCATGTTAATTGTACAAAACAACTTGGGGTGAAATTCATTCAATTAAATGCAGATAGATATATCCACAGGAGCTACTAGAAGGCAGTGGTCAACGTCAGCAATTGGCATGGGCAAACTGGTCTAGAGCTGTAGTCTGAAACCTGACTTCCATGCTATACAGATCTTGGACGGGGCGATTTAGATGTGGGGATGGAGTGCATCAGATCTATGTCTGCACCTTCCAGCTTAGTTGCATTTGAAAATGATCCAGTTTGTGTGCTCCACTGCTGCCCTATGATATGAACCAAAACAAGGTAAGTGGGGAAAATGAAGATAGTCACCTCAGAAGTGCAATGCTGAGCTGAACCAACCCACTG